AACTCCGCGGGGTCTCTTTCACAGATGTGGGTGGGCTCTCTTTCAAGGGTGTCGCCAACGCTCACCGAAATTGGCACGTGCACGTTTTCGATCATGAGCGCGGGCGTCGGCTCCTTTGGATGATTATTATTGTCATACACCTCGAAATTGTACAAGATCGCCTGCAGGTAGCTTTTTGTTTCGGCCCGCAGCGGATCAGCGGCAATTTTCCCAGCTTCGCACACCCATGCCTCGATAACTTGGTAGCCGGCCTCCCGCAGGAATCTTGTACATTTTATTGTGGCTTGGTACATGTCTTCGCGCGTTTGGTTGTTGCAGTGAATGCTTTTGTTGTGATCTTGTGGGTAACATTTTTGACACCCGTGCCAGTGGCAGCCGTGGTATTGAAATACAGTCTTCATTGCGTGGTTGTACCCGTCGACAGGTGCGTGCTCAACCCAACGCTCGTCACCATGCCCGGACATTGTGTGGTGAATCTGGATTTTCCGCCGCTTGGCTTCTCGTTCAAGCCACACAAGCGATTCTTTGGAAGCGTTGTCCTTTGGGTAGAAAGTTTTCTCGAAAGCTGTTTGTGGGGCTTCGACCCTTTCACCCGGGCAATCGATTACCGTTTTTCCTGCACTGCAGGTTGCAAAATGACATTGGAGATTCCAAACTTGTGTGAATCTCGCTCTGCAATGCGTGCATGCATAATTTTTGGCCAACCTGGCAATATCTTTGATGACGAACGCATGCCCTTCGTAGATGCCGATTGTCAGAATGTTCGTCAAACTTGCTGATGGGTTTCGTCTAAGGTGCCATACCACTTCTTCCCCCCTCCCAGGCTCATACACCCGGATGCCGAGCCAGTCTGAAAAAGCTGTACCTTGATTCAGATGCCTTTCAACCTTGTCTAATTCATCCAGAGACGTTTTTGGGCAGTCAGTCGGCAGGGTTTTGAGTTTGAAGAAACTCTTGGCCAGACCGCGGGCTGCTTTTGTTCTTCGATCAGCACGCGCTCCTCGGTGTACAGCGATACAATGCCAAAGACACAAGTTCTCTTTATACGTATCCAAAGCCGCCATCGCCCCGCCATGGGCAAGGTTGGGCAGGCAGTCTGGCAAGGAGCCTGCGCCCAACAATGGTTGACTGTCAACCACAACCTTCAGGTCGACATTAAAAAAGCTTACAAACTCCCACTTTGTTGATGGTCTTTCGATTTTGTCATGGTCCAGTCGTTTCTTCTCTTCTTCACTCAGCCATTCTTCTGCCTCTCCTAGTCTGTTTATCCAAGGTGAGGCGTGGTTTTTTTAGTACAGAATCACCGTTCCATCTTGAATGTTGCGCAACTGGTACGAGAAAACATGCCTCAGGTAAAACGATTTGTCAACATTTTCTCGAATTTTTTCCATAAAGTTTGTTGTTAGGTCTTTTTCCAGACCTCTGATGAAGCGCCATCGAATGTAGCGCCGTCCTTTACTCTCTTCCCCCTCATGTGTTGCATCATCGAACAGGTCCAGAATCTCATTCTGGTAGTCTGTCACTGTTCCGATGTTCTGTGCTGGAAAAGGGTCATACTCCCTCAGAAGCTCTTGCGTTTTTCTCACCTTTCTTTGCCGGGGAGGGGGTCTTGGTTGGTAAGGTTTTTGCAAACGCTTCTCAGTTTCTTGGGAAATAGGTTCATTCAGCACATTCTGAACAATCTCTCTAACAGCCGGCTTGTTTTCTGCAAGTAATTGCTCTAAATACTGCAACGTTGCTGGATCAAATTTTGCAAACTCTTCTTTCAGAATTTCTTCAAACCTTTGGTCAACGGAAGACATAGTGACTTGTGGTATAACGGAAGGTTTCATATCTCTAATTGGGTTGACACCAGCTCGAGCAAAACAAGCTCAAAAGTTTTCTTTGCTTTTTTGCACTTGCGGATAAGCCGCTGTTTTAGCGCGTTCCCGCCACATGGAATGCAAAGACAGTAATCACACAAAACCCCAACTCCGCAGCTGCTGCACGGGGTAGGAATTTTCATGCTTTTCTTGAGTTGATAGTTGTGCTGCCTGCAATAAGGGCCGACACAGCTCTTTGCACAGTTTTCTTTCCAGCTACGCATCAACCACGCACACTTGTTTGTTCCTCTAACCATTGCCGCTGTTCGGGCGGTATAACAGCGGGGTCGTTTCTATCTAATTGGAATCCCTCCCCTTCCCTCCCTTCCCCGTAGTTGTATATAGGGAGGTTGACAAATACTGTTTTGCAGAGGGACGCACCATTTCCCCGTTTTGAACCCCCTATGTTTAACCGAAGCGAGCTTGCGAGCTTTGGTATTACACCTGGGGGGTTCAAAACGGGGAAATGCTTCTCCCTCTGCGAAACGGTATTTGTCAACCTCCCTATATACTACTTCCCCCCAGTTAAGTGCGGCCGTCGATAAAACCAGGAACATGGAACATTCCGGAACATCCCGGAACATCGAATAATTATCATAATTACGCGAAAAATATGTAAAATAAAATTTTAAAGAATTAAATCAAACAAAAATAAACTGGTATCAGCTCAGAAAATAAAAACAAAACAAAAGCATAAAGAAAGAGAAAAAGAAAGAAAAATGAAAGTGATACAATAAGTGAAGGCTAGCAACTAAGAAGAGTAATCCATTCTTTCCAGTCATCCACCGTCAGTTTAATCACATGACTGTCCTTTATTCCCAGATTTTGTTCTTCACAGAAAACTAAGGTGGTAGCATTCGAACTCCTTAATCAGACCTAAAAGTATGGGTACACGAGTGTGATTTCTTTATTGAATTCATTACGTCAATGCAAAGATATGCATATACACGATTTCTCATGAAGAAATAGTTTCTCCATGAGATAGAAATAGAAACTCTTTGGCATCAAGTTTCTTGTCTAAACTAATTTGGACTGCTCGACCTCTGATGACAGTGTAAACAAACACATACACAAAATTTAAAAACATTTGGCAATGCACGCGCTGTCTTGCGGGGTCACTGGTCAAAACTTTATTGTCTCTAGAAATATTTGTTACAAGTGTTTGGCGATCTGAAATTGAATTCTAAGTGTTGCCAACAGTTCAAATGCATCTCCTGGAAAATGTCTGTCCAGTACAAGTTAATACTTAATTAATTAAAAATACTTTTATCACAGGCTATAATCTATTCATCGCTAGTTCGACTTCACGTGCAGATCATTATCTGACATTCAATCAAACTTAGTTTTCTATCGAGCCATTCAAACACCACCAAAGTAAACCAGACATGCGAAAACTGCACGTGAATGCGCTGCTCTATAAATCTTTGATTAAAACTAGTTTATTAATAATAACTTGCTTGTTACTCGGGCTTCCAGAGAGGCCGAGTCTGCACTTAGTGGGTCATAGTGCCAGGAGTTCCTAGCGGAGCAGTGCAAAAACAGGGAATGATAAATAGCAACATGAAGATGGAATAGGGTCAAAACTATGAATACTGACTTAACAAGCAACTGTATGATGCTCAGACAAACACCTCAGATGTTGAAGAAATCAGGGATCAAAAATGGAGACGCAATGAATTACCTGGCATTCATCGTCAGAATCGTCCATGTTTGTGTTCAAAAACAGACTGCTGAAAAGCGACGTGATGCAATTGGCGCAATTCGCCACTCACATTGCTAACTTGAATCCCCTGCTAACTCAAAGTAATTTTCATTTCCCCTCAGACCATTTTCTATATAATTTTAGCCTCGATAACTCAAACATTCTATTTCCCCTGAAGGTTCGAGTTATCGGGAGTCAACTGTAACTAACAAAATAATCAAATAGCTAAGGTAATAAATGTGCATTAAAAACTTAGTGACATACAATGGATTAGATTTACTTTTTACAAATTCATAGATTTATCAGAAAAAAGTAGGTAGACAATTCTTTTCCAAAAACGATGATCAGAGTCTGAAGATCTTATATTATTCCAGAGCCTAGCCCCATGGTAGGTCAAGGACCGCTGTCCAGTGGTTCAACGGCACCTTGAAATGTTCGGTTGACCAGGTTGTTTAGTATTTCTAGTGTGAATTTGTGAGCGCCGAGTAAATTTCTCAATTAAGTACTCGGGGAAGAGTTTATTAGCACTTTTAAAGATCATTACGGCATTGGTCAAGTAAAGTCTGTCATTAACAGGCAGCCAATTTAGGGATGCAATGTGCAAAGTAACGGTGCAAGTGTAATTTACATTGTATCAAGAAAAAAACAAACACTAGTAAGGCAGGCGAAACTTAAATGAAAAATTTCTACTTATTATTGAAATCTTCTACTTGTTTGTTTTTGGAGCGATTAGCTTGAGTGAGTCAATCTTCCCTAACCTTTTTGCCATAACGTTTATATGAACACTGGATTGGAGAAAATCATCAACATATGTACACAATGTTTGCTAAAAGAATCACCACATTGCATCTCAGGGAATTACTTTTCAAAATCTTCCTAGTGTGAGGGGGCGACCCCCTCCCATACTCTCCCTGAACGATGTACAGTGCGCGTCTTAATTTGTCCAGCTGCTTCCCGGCATGTTTTTCACACAAACCTTATCTGCCTACATTTTGGATGGAAACCCGTACTCAAAAAAAAAGACAACCTTGCGGTACTCAGTTGTTGATGTTGTCATGTTTTTAAATAGGCTTAGTCATTACAGCAGCAAAACCTTTTGACGCTACATGTACATCTTCACTTGACATGTGTAAACAGTGCAGAGTTCAGAGAGTTAAAACTCACATGGGACAAGGCATAACATGCTGTACAAAACAGGGCTAAATTGAGAGATTGTTGTTGTGTTATGTCCCATTAGGACTAAGAGCTAAATAGATAATTATTAAAGGATAAAGTAAGTAAGTAAACAGTATTCTGCCATACATTTCCCACTTAAAAATTGTAACGACTTGTTACGTCTACCTTCTCACTTGTAGCAATTCAACTCCCAGGTTGTGACATTTGAAAACAGCATTCCAACCGAAAGGAATAAAACTAAGCATAAGACCCATGTACGCATTGCGGACCTATTTTTTGTGAATATTTTTGCATGGCAGATGAATTTATAGCAAATCTTAAATGTAAGTTAACTCTTGACCAATTTTTGTATAGCTAGTAGCGATGTAAATAGGAGTGTAAAGTACATGTAGGAGTTATAGCCCCAGTTTATTATACATGCTAATTTTGTTATTTTTTTGTTTATTTGCTTGTTTGCTGTGCAACAGAACATAATAAATAAATAAGTAAGTTAATTAATAAGGGGAAAAAGTAAGCAATGTAAGTATTTAATTATGAGTAGAAAATTGTACATTTATTAAAGAAAGTAACCTGTAGAGTAGGCAATGAAATTAAGGTATGAAATTGTAAGCTACCAGTATTGCAAGGAATGTAAATAGTGTACTGTAAATCGAGTATTGCAATGTGAGTGGCCACCCAAGAAGCAATCTGGCTTCGAAGGTTACTTGCAGATATAGGAGAACCTCTGGAGGAACCATCATAATTCATGAAGACAACCAAGAGCTATTGCAATGGCAAAGAATCCTGTGGGTCATGCTAGGATTAAGCACATTGATGTAAGCTATCACTTTGTTTGCGAAGGACTGCAGAACAGAGTGGTCGTTTTGAAATATGTTGCCACTGATCTGTTGATTGCAGATATTCTCACAAGGCCTTTCCCCAAGCATTGCTTCAAGAAGCTTGCCACCGAACTAGGAATTAAAACTGTCAAATAAGCAACGTCAAAAGTAGGAGTGTTGTTGTTATGAAAGTCAACATTTACCGGTTGCCATCTGAACTTTAATGAATGCACAGTTCTCCACAGGAATAATTAATTAAGCTACATACTCATTAGAGCAAAGCTTTGAAGGTCAGAGTCTTCCTATCTTGACCAATAGAAGTCGTGTTTGGCCTGTCAACCATTTGTATCATCATGTCATTGGAAACCATAACTCCAAGGCCAGTGATGGACGATACACATTCAGTTCCTGATGTTGCTGGTGTAGTACCTGATGGTAGTAGAAGGAGTTTTGTTCTTGGAAATCTGCAGTACAAATTACATTAGCCAATTTTGACTCCACTTGTAGAGACAGTCCAAGTCTTGTTGAAGAAGCTTGCTGGCACCAGGGTGGTCAATAGCTTGATAGAGTTAGTCATCTGCAAAGAGTGCAATGGTTGAGTTAGAGCAAACATAGTTAGGAGCAGCGTTAACATACACAAGGAACATGATCGGACCAAGGATTGACCCTTGCAGTACAGCGGGAGTCATAGGAAGCCAGTTAGAGGAGTAGCCATCTGCGAGGACTCTCTGTACATTTTATATTGAACAGCTCCAAAAGAAAAGCATAGTAATAAAGCAATGATTACTTACCAATATGAAAAATATTTGTTTAACCAATATGGTTGCCATGACTTCCTCATTGATTCCCTCATGGTAGGGTGTGTTAAATAACCCATTTAGGGTCCCAAGTTGTGAACATTTCGGCTCCTTGATCCAAGTTGCAAATTTTAGAAGTAAGGAAATTGAGATTTGATGTTTACTTATTAAACTCTACTTAGGTGTCCTTCCTTTGAACATATCCATCTGAGTTTCATCAAGGTTAATTTTGACTTTTACTAAGGGAGAGGGACAGGTAGCCCACGTACCTAATCACAAGTACCACTGTAACTACATAGATTAAACAAACCACTGTAGTTATCGCTGGTAGACTTAACTGACCTCAAACGGAAGCCGTAAAATTTGTCCAGCCTTAGGACCTGCGAAAGGGACAAAAAAGGCATGCTAAACGAGGATAAATCCATTAAAACTTGAGTCAAAATCTTACGACTATGCTAGTAAAAACACACTGGTCATGTGACAGAAAATGGCACGAAACGTAACCGCACACGGACTGGACTGGCCATAGTCACAACCACCTACCTAATGTCAAGCCTGTTTGCAACACGCAGGGTTAGCATTTGCTCCTCTCTCTCTCTACTTCTCGGAAAGGGCAGGACTGGTGCTATTCCATGCTTTGTTGTATAGTATGTTTTTTTTCTTTTTGTATAGCCTGTTGGGACTCCTGCACAAGGGAATGTATTCATCCATAGCTGTAAACAAATGGTCCTTCCAGCAGGTTCAGTTGTAGTCAATGTCATCATTCAAAAAAGCATAGTGTCAAGGGATATAAGATAAGAAAGACTTCAGATTTATCCAGTCTGTCTTACTGTTCAATTAAAAAAGCTCATGCCATTTATGCTGAATGTAGGTTAAGTTGAGAATCTTGAAACTAGGGGAGCTATGATGAGAAAAAATAATCTCAAACAACTAGAATATCTTTAATATCTGGTGGAGTTGTAATGACTAAATCCAGGATATTGTGATTCCTTGTTGGTTCCTGGACTAGTAATATATTCCATAAAGAAGAAGTCCAGAATAATGTGAATTCTTCTTATTCTTCGTCATTCCCTCTGGAACATAGGGCCCTGACTACTAGCTTCCATCTTTCTCTGTCTTTAGCTGCCCTCTTTGCCTCCTCCCAGGTCATGCTGATGGTCTTCAATTCAGCTTGCAGTGTTCTTTTCCATGCAAAACTTGGTCCTCCTCTTCTCCATTTCCCCTGTGGGTTCCAGTGCAAGGCTTGGCGGGTGATGTTTGTCTACTCTCGGCATATGGTATGTCCAATCCATCCCCACTTTCTACTTTGGATGGTGTCAGTGGTGGGCTCCTACCTGGTTCTTTGCCAGAGGTCTTGGTTAGAGACGAGCTCTGGCCATCAAATGCGTAGAATCTGACAGAGACAGGTGTTGATGAAGACCTGCAGTTTGTGGTCTAATTTCTTGGTGCACCTCCAGGTTTGCGCTCCGTACAAAAGAACTGATTTGACATTGCTGTTGAACAGTCTCAGTTTTGTGTGGCAGCTGAGGTTTTACTCCTCCATACTGGTCTCAGAGTGGCAAAGGCTTGACGCGCTTTGTTGATCCTAGCCTTAACGTCCTCATCTCTTCCTCCTGTCTTGCTCACAATACTGCCCAAGTAGGGCAAGCGATCAACTTCCTCAATGGCCTGACCATCAACAGTGAGGGGGGCTTCCCGGCTTACATTTATTTGCATGCTCTTGGTCTTTGTGACATTGATCTCTAGACCTGCTGTCCTAGCAATATTGCACAGTCGCTCGGTTTTAGCCTGCATATGCCCCACCATGTGTGAGAGTAGACTAATATCATCAGTGAAGTCTAGATCCTCTAGCGTCTGCATGAGGGTCCACGAATGCCTCTTGGCTGTTCAATTGTTGTTTTCAGCACCCAATCGATAATTAGTGAGCAGATAAGTGGGAACAAGATACATCCTTGTCTCACTCCTGTGTTGATGGTGAAGGGTGCAGACAAATCAGTGTTGTGGATGACTCTACAGCTGTTATCTTCATAGAAGCTTTAAAGATCATAAACATCATCCAGAGAATAATGTGAATATGTAGGGTTAAATTGTCTGTTACAAGGCTCTGTTACATGACCAGTCATTATTTGATAAATTAAAATGTCTAACTAGTATAAGTTCAGTTGTTCCAACGAGATCCTGAATAAAAGCCTGTAGGTCTTCTAGACGCTTGGTATAGCTGCCAGGAGGTTGATAAAAATGCCGAATGTGATTTGTTTGTTGTGAGAGGAGAGCCAATTAATGAAAAGCAATTCAGGGTCACACTGATGAGTTGTGCAATAATTAGTCACTGATCTGGATCCACTTGTTCCATACAGTTCAGCATCCAATGCTGCTAGCTGCTCAATAAGGGTCTGAAGCTAGGAATGAAATTCACAGTGCAAATTTAATACACTCGCTGGTGGTCAGAAATTGTCTTCATTTATGGAATAATATTAATTCTCAGGGTATATTTGTAAGACTCACTTCATTCAGACTGCATGGCCACGACTTCAATCTTCCAAAAAGAGTGATGATCTGGTCCCCCTTTCTTCAAAGTCCAGGTACCTTTACCGAGCCAAAGCAATTTTAAGATGTAAGTCTAAGAAATGGTAGTGGAGAATGAAGCTCAAAAACCAGGCCACTCTGTTTCGTTTCATGAGATATGTATGTATGGGTGGGGACGCGTATACTTCAATTAATGGTAAATTTTCAATTTTTTCCTTATTTCAATTCTGAAACATATTTGCAGCATAGACCTAACACTGGAGAAGGAGAATCACATGTGAAGTATTCAGCTTTGCAAAATGACTCAGGTGAGGAATAAATTCTTGATGACTCTCTTTTTCCTTATTGCTTTTTTTCGGTTGTAGTTGATACAAAATAAAACTAGCATTGTTGGCTGTTCCATATAGTGGCAATCTACAATACTGAAGTCTGATTAATGTCAGTGTTGGAAATAAGCGCTTGCCAATGCGAGTGTGAAAAGTGTCAGGCAAGTACAAATCATCAATCACCAGCCCATTTGGCTGGTACAATTTTCATTTTTGGGAAATTGTTTTAAGCCTAAATATTGATAACGCTCCTTTTTATTTTCCATATTGGCAACAATATCTCACCAATATGCAGTGTACCAGCTTGATAGCTCAGTTGGTAGAGCACTGCACCGGTATCACAGAGTTCATGGGTTCGAATCCAGATCAGGCCTTATTTTTTTTTTCAGGCTTTAATTTCACAGCTGCTTAAGAGCCGATTCCTGTAAATACCGAGAATGAGATGACAGTCGCAAAATTTCAGATTTCATATTTTGCCCAAATAACCTCTGTAGTGAGTTGTTTTCGAAAATACCATTCAAAGGTCCTGAAGTGCTTTAGTTTTTTCAAAATCGAGGAAAGTCCAAAAATCGCCATTTTAGCTGCCTGCCGCTGCCGAAAATGCCAAAAATCGAGCATTTTCTTTTCACTCGTACAGAACAACGCAATGATATCAATATACTTTGGGTAGCTCATAGTGCATGTCTTGCTGTTTCTAGAGCATTAATTTGATAGCAAAAGCTCCAAGTGTTATAATATTTTAGACCGATACAAGTACCTTCATCAAAGCTCGTGAGCCAAAGGGCTAAAATTGGCTAATTTCAATACCATCAAAAGCCCACTGGTACATTGAATTTGAAGTCAAAACTAAAATTTTCTGAGAGCCCATACTCCATATTATGTTATGTGTAAGTCTCTTCTGCGGCCCAAAAAAAGTACCCTGTCAAGAGCAATAAACGTGTGGTACGTTTTGAGAAATTCGTCATTCGTGAAACCAACATGGAACTCGAAAAGCTACCTTCATCAAGGACAAAAATAAGCCAGTGGAAGCCTTTTTCAACAATAAAGATGCTTGCAATCTGTTTTTTTTTTAGATTGACCACATTATTAACTTTGGCAAACATTTGCAGTTAAATGAAAAAAGATGCTGCTTTCGGTACATTGTAATGTTATGCAAATTTATTTTGATCACCGGCACATGTATATTGCCCAAAACTGATTTCACTTCCGCCTACTGTATGTTTCTTTTGGAAGGTTATAACTGTAGCACACATTATTCGTTCAATATTGGCAGTTCTATGTGGAAGACCCACAGCCAAAAAAAAACATTTTGAAACATGAAACTTGAGTAATCAATCAATCAATTACAGTTGCATCCATTGTGTTTGGCATAAATATGCGAGCACAACCATTTCATGTAAACAGGCACACTCTACTTGAAAAATAACCGTCTCATTGCAGCATTTCTTGAAATCCTGGTCTGAGACCAGGTAATGATAGCAAAGCGCAAGCAGTTGGCAAAACCTCATGATCAACTGTCACAGAGTTGTGGCATAAATATTACGGCAAGATAATTCGACCGTTGTATTTCTTACCCGTGTGCTTGCAATTCTAATGGGTACAATTGCCCCTGTTTTTTACCACCAAATTTATAGATGAATCTTTCGTTTCCTGTCACCTAATATGGCACATACCTCTGAATAAAACACATACTGTGACGTCATTTTGCTTCGAATGTTCCAACAGTTGTCCGCCACTTGCAAAACGTATAAAGCAGCAAGACAGAAAACCACAAATGTTTCTTTGCCAATCGCACTACACTTTCCAGATTTCTTCCTTACAAAGTTTCCAGACTTTGCTCCCTTTAAAAATTCCACGACTTCGCCGTTCTGTTAGCCAGTCTGAATAACTGTCATGGTGTTAGTTGAGTAAGTAGTTGACTTTTGTTTGGTAGTCCCAGTTCAGACAAATCGGCAAATGTGGATTGCATGACAAACATGTGACAAACAGCCACTTGCGAAGTGAGTGAAGACGGCGCGAGTGAATCCAAACTGTAAGGTAGTTCGCATTGACAGCCTAACAAAACATTTTAGGACAAAATTGGAAGATGTAGGGGGGAAGGGGGTGTTGTTTAATTCTGCAAAGGGGCAGAACTTGACGAATCACAGAGCCGTGGGTCCTGCTATCTCAGCATGTCTACATAGATTAATGGAAAGTATTCCCACGTTCACAAAAGTTGTACAACACACCTTTCCTCTTTACCTTTAAAATACATGTTTATCGTTTGTGCTTTTTGAATAGAAATGCACCATTGATAGTGCTGGGATACAAAAAGAGCAAAAGAAGCCTAGAGGGCATCGGATTTTAGATACGCGGTGTACGTTTACATACATATTCACCCCTGTTGCTTTCTGCTAAACTATATAAACTATAATATGGGTGCTTTCCATTCGACCAAAAATGCTGAAATTTTCGAAACAGGCATGAATGGTACGGAGATTTCCTGGGAAATGTTCCAGATCTAGAAAATCCGGAAATTTTTGGTCAAATGGTAAGCATCCATATATACCTCCTTAGCCGGGAGTTCGGTAGCAGAAAAATCGGACAGTCAGAAGAGCTAAAATTGTCATTTATTTTACCTTGAGAATTCACAATTATGGACAAAGTGAACTTCTACATCCGTAATTAGGCGGTATAAAATAGTTACCATTATGTATTGTAGCCTTATTTTGCACATTTTAGAGGCAAAAGTCAGAGCGAATGTATGGACTGATGTGAAGTTCATATGAAATAATTCATATATGAACTGCGGTTGTAGATGAAAGTGAAGAATGATCATCGCAGTAAATTTTCCAATTTAAGCAATT